TTAAGAGTCTCTTATGGTTTGCCTCCCTGTTTTTATCTTATTTTTCCTTCCCTTCCCCTATGTTCGTCTGTTGTGTTTCTTAAATTCCACATATGAGTGAAATCATGATATTTGTCTTTTTCTGCCTGACTTGTATTGCTTAGCATAATACATTCTAGTTCCATCCATGTTGTTGCAAATGGCAAGATTTCATTCTTTTTGATTGCCAAGTAATATTCCACTCTGTGTGTATATGTATGTATACATTGTGTGTGTGTGTACATTGTGTATACATGAAAATACACCCATATACACACCATATCTTTATCCATTCATCAGTCGATGGACATTGGGGCATTTTCCATAATTTGGCTATTGTTGATAACCCTGCTATGAACATTGGGGTGCGTGTGCCCCTTCGAATCAGCAGTTTTGTATCCTTTGGATAAATAACTAGTAGTGCAATTGCTGGGTCGTAGAGTAGTTCTATTCTTTTTTTTTTTTTTTTTTCAACGTTTTTATTTATTTTTGGGACAGAGAGAGACAGAGCATGAACGGGGGAGGGGCAGAGAGAGAGGGAGACACAGAATCGGAAACAGGCTCCAGGCTCCGAGCCATCAGCCCAGAGCCTGACGCGGGGCTCGAACTCATGGACTGCGAGATCGTGACCTGGCTGAAGTCGGACGCTTAACCGACTGCGCCACCCAGGCGCCCCGAGTAGTTCTATTCTTAACTGGAATCTTAAAGAGTTCAAGCATGGCACACTGACATACTGGTTGGTGTTTGGATCTAGAACTGGAAGCCTTGAAACAGCGTTTCTGGAAGCATGCTAATCCAGCAGTGAAACCCAGGGCTGGTCAGAAGATGAATGTGAACATCATAGTGAAAGGCGTGGGCACTGATGGAAAGGAAGAGCTAAAGGCAGATGTGGTACCTGTGACTTTGGCAGCTGAGAAGCTGGATGGAGCAAGCCACACAAAACCAGGTATTTGAGTTCATGTTTTCGTTTGCGTGCTTTATGCTTTGTACACTGGCAGGTCTTTATGGCTACCGAAGACCCTATAGTGAAAAGTTCTAGAATCTTTTTCCTTGGACAGTTTGAAGATTGGATAGCAGTACCTCTGGCATGATTCACATGTAGCATTGCTTAGATGTGGGAGGTGATAAGATGACTATTTCCAATAGTTTTTGTCTTACTAAAAAACAGTAAATATCTGTTGTAGAAAATATATAGAATAAAAAACGAAACTTCTATGATCCTCTATCAGAGACACCTTCTATAATTATATCGTGTATCCTTTTAATCTCTTTGCATAGGTGATATGTTTTTAAAAACAAACGGGCACCTGGGTGGCTCAGTCGGTTAAGCTTCTGACTTCGGCTCAGGTCATGATCTTGTGCTTTGTGAGTTTAAACCCCACATTGGGCTCTGT